GCAACCAACAATCATCTTTTAAAAAGAATCAGAATCTTTTTTTTTTTAACAAAAATTCTGAAAATAATTAATGCTTTAAATCATTCAGTATATCTGGTCTGTGATAAAACCAACTGAAACGGTAGAAATATCAGCAACATAACAGAAAAAGAAATCTTTAACCCCTAATCCCCTATTTTTCCCACTTACTTTCTCTTCATAATATTAAAGCGGGTAATTGGTACAAAATATTTCTATTTCTTATCAAACTTGTGATCCATGTATACGTAAGGCATTGATCATTTGAAAATTTAAAAAAAAAGGGAAAAAAAAAGACTTTCTAAAAGAATAACCAATCTTCGGAGGACTGCAGCTGGACATCTCTGCATTGCATGTGAACTACCACAGGTCATAACGGAAGGAACTTTCACTGACCATGAAAGAGACATTTCTCTTCTCTTGGCTCTGTTGAAGAGCACACAAAACAAAAACAAGAATTCCACCCGAAATTCCTCCGTAAAACCTTGAAAAACCCTGCCAAAATGGGTGCGAAACAAGGGCACAACCTTACCTCCGTGGGGAGATGTTCAAAATCGAAGGGGAGTTTTTTTTTTAGTGTCTTTGAATGCAACAGTAGCATTTCTGGAAATGTTGCAGGACTTGCTGAACAGATAAAAGTTGGCGCTGTTAATGCAAAAATGCTCTGAGCATTGGAGTTATAAGCAGGCCCAGATGGAATCTGGGGAACTACGGTGGAAAAATCAGTGGAATTCTGCGGAATGAATTCAACCATGGTGCAATGTGTAGCTGAAAGCATAATCAAATTAGCCAAAATATTTCATAAACGAATATTCAAGGAACAGCTGAATTCTGTGAATGACTGACATTCCACACAATCTTTCCACTTAATTATATGCGCAGATTCCATGTGGGCCTGGTTATGAGCATTAAGAGAGCAGATTTGTGCTACACAAATCAGCGGGCATCTATATGTACATTACCTGATAAAACTGACCTTTTGTTTGTAGTGAGAACCAGTGTGGCTACCTCACTGAGCTGGGTGGTTTGTGAAACAGCCACTGATACCAAAGATTCTTTGACCTGCCAATCCTGTGCTGCCAACGGGAGGAATACACACAAATACCAAAACCCCAATAGCATAACCAAAGCTGTTACAGGTGCAAACAAACAGACAAATGGATTTTAACACATAAGATGACATATACATACTCTCACACAGTGCAGTCAGACTGCATAGCACCACACTGAGGGATGCGGCTGCTATGCAGATTGAGTTGAGTGCCTTTTTCCTTCAACAACGGGTGGGACTGCTCTGGAACACACACGAGACACACACACACACACACACACACACACACTTTGGGTCAGTTCACACACAGAACGCGGTTTTTGTTAGTTTGTTCCATTTCGCTCCTTTTTAATAGTTTTTCTGTGTATACACTAACGTTTTTGACCGTTTCGCGGTTTTTCAATTTCTCTCGCGCGCGGACGCCGCTATTTAAAGGCGCCGCGTCGAGTTTAAAAACGCGTTTCGAGATCGTATGCCATTTTCCATGAACGCTGTCTGGCGTTTTTTTAAGAACGCCTATGTGTGAACAGCACCTTGCACAATTACTCGAACATACATGTACACTACTTAGGCATACAGATATTGAAGCACAGGGTGATTTTGACGTTAGTTTGACATAAACATGGCGTTTAAGCACTTTATAATGCCAATTTTATTTATTGTTTTTGGCACTATCACTTAACTGAAATTATTTGGGCTAAGAGCCCTGCAAAAATGCCCAGCTTTCTTTCACATTAGACTAATTTCTTTATTTCATATGCACTGTTGGATACTCGCAAAATATCTTTCAATGCTATCATTGTATTTTTTGATGTCATACACCCTGATGTCACTCAAAATGCCTGAGTACTGTACCCACATATGGCCTATTTTCATGAGCACTAATTTAAATCAAGCTATATCATAAACTTTTGACATAAGCCTACCAAAATGGACTTTATTCTAAGCAACATGGCTGGTTACAACTAACATTTTACATTGATTTAGGTCAAGAGCAGGTTTAAAATAAAATCAAGTTTTTGACAGTTTGGTTATTTAAATAGCTGTAAGTGATTCAGGAGAAGAGGCCATTTTAGAAGACACATTGAACCATTTCCCTCTTATATTTCTCCCATTGGAAACCACATGGACTTGGCGGGAAGGTGTTGACAATTGATTCTGAAATACCTCAAATGTTTTGTGTAAAGTTTATGTAATTTAGATTAAACTAATGCTAATTACAATGAGTACACTAACACTGCTAAGACTAATAATAGTTAGTTTTTGAACTTGTGACTTGAAGCTTTATACTGTTAAATTGTGTTTTTGTTGGTGTTGTTGTTTGGTTCACTCATTTGCCAATTTCTTGTTTATTATTATTATTATTTTGATCGATGGTGGTACATCATTCTTTATAAAAGAAAGACATTTGAATGTTTATAATGAAAGACATGACACAAAAGAAAAGGATTTGAGAGTGAAAGGAAAAAACAGAACATTGAAAGATGACAGAAAAGAGCAAAATCACAGTACGCTGAATTTCCAATATATGCATCGTTTTTTTCTAATGGTTTCAGTTTCAGCATTAGTCAGACTTTAACTATATGTTAATTATTTTTAAAGCTAACTAGATTGTGTTAAGTGCTCCTAGCATTAATTTAAAAAAAATAATGAAAAAACAAACTCCTCCCATTTAAAGTGGCGGGGACACTTTTTTCTGCATGACTATTGTATACTGTATAGAGTAAAGCTGGATCAACCTGGACTTTGGAGGGAGCGACTAGGACGAATAGACCCCGGGGAAGTTGGAGATGGGTGGGAAGGGTGGTAAAGGTGTTGGAGGGGTCTTTGTTTTGTAGAGTTTTCTGTCACTGTTGTTTTTCACTGGTTGTGTGCATGTATTGTTGCAGCCCTCTTTGCCCTCCTTGTATTTCTTTTATGTATATAACTCTTTAGTGGGGCATGACCGTTTATCCTGGGCAACTGAACTTGGTCATGTACACACGTCTCTTCTGAAAATGTAATCTTGTGTGCATTTGTTTACATGTGGCGTGTTTCTCGATTTGGGTTGCACACCATTTCACGCGAAACTGGAATGCTACCAGCCAGTTTTTTTTTTGCAACAGACCCCTCCAACCAGAAATGGTCTCTCATCGACTGTAAAACAGCATCATGTACATCATGTTTCTCTCCGGGTCTGTCTGCAGATTCAACCCCCCCGTCACACTGTGCTCTTCCTCTTCTGTTACCTGTCAATCAATCAGAACCAAGTGTCTTTGTGATGGTAGAAGACAATCAGTTTCAAAACTAGGAGAAAAAAATGGTAGAGAGAAGACAGGCTGAGAGGAGGAGGAGGAGAAGAGGAGAAAGGAAGGAGGAAAGAGGCTCATTGGTCAAGTAGGTGACTACTGCCCTATTTAGCTTGCTGTGGTGCTCATGATGTGCAACATTAGCTAACTTTGCAACCGCTCTTCCCTGTAGATTTGTATAGTAAAGCATAGGAAACATTTACTGTAGGTGTTTCAAGAGGTAGATTTAACTTCAACAAGAAATTTTAGCCACCAAAAATGGACAATAAATATAAGTTCCATGCTAAACATAATGCTAACACCAGCGTTCACTTTAGCATCTAGCTACATTGTTCTCTCACCTAACTAACCTACTCCCACACTGCTGGACCAATTGAAAAGAGCTAGCGCAGACAAGTGCTAACATTTGCGCTAACAATGCTCTCTAACCACAAATCGGTCAATAAAGAGCTGCTGAGGCTGGTAGTCTTTGCACAGAGAACTATGCAAAAATACAACAAAAAGAAAAAGCCTTTACCTCAATCTTAATCAATGTTGCTGGTTCAGGCTCTTTTCCACTTCAGTCACTATATGATGTCACCTGCACCAATTATAGACTAGAAAACTTGAAATGTTATGTACCTGCTTAAACCATCTCAAACTAGTCTGAACTGGCTTTCTAGGATTATTATTGTTTTTTTTATAGGTGTTTTTTGGGTGCTTGGCAGGCTGGGAGACCAATTCGCTGATTAGATAACCCAACTAAGACAGCAAACCACCTTGAGCTGGTTTAAATTCTTTATTTTTAAAGCAGGGAATTTAGCAGTGTAGCAAATTCGCCAGATTATTATATACTGAAACACTATATAGGGAAGAGTGTGCGCAAAATAAATAGCTCTTAATGAAAACGATTACATGCACACAAACTCTCCTTAGAGCACATCTACCCAAGCCAAAGACTGATCAAAGGGTAAAGACAATCCAAAAAAACAATCAGTGTGTGTTTCTGAAGCTGTAGCGTTGCCCTGGCTGACAATAATTTATGACAGGTGCAAGGATTCATGAATTTTAGCATTATAGTTCAATGTAAACACCTAGAAACTAAGATATTGAAGGACAAAATACCTGTCCCTGTTCAAAATCTTCTGTAGAAGACTTCCCAGTTTTAATATCCTGTTGAAGCTTCACATGCACACACAAACTTGTTCTCAGGCAGCTGTTTAAGGTTAAAGGGCATGTCATCATGGAGAGCCTCATTCCTCCTCCTGTCCTACAGGGGGAGCCAGAGAGCCTGTGGAGCACTTTTCATTTAGTGCAAATGGACAGGAGACAAATTGGAGTAATAACTGTTACAGGAAAAAAAAAACTAAAAAAGGTAATATGGGTAAATTGCGTGTTTTGAAATAAAATAAAACCATTGTTGAACACATTCACGCTATTGTCTGTTTATTTATCTAGCCTGGATTTGTTTGCAGAATAAAAAAAAAAAAAAAAATACATTTTCAGTTAAATATATTTATTTGTAAAGCATTTTTTTTGTGCAAAAATACAAGTATATTTAAAAGACCAAATATTACAAAACTAAAGATCATGGGATTTACCCAATCAACTGTTTGTCCCTATTTATGCTTACAGTACTTAGACAACAAAAAAAAAAAACGTTTTTGCATTTTAAAACGTACAAACCCAACCCAAAACGTACAAAAGATGTAATATATCGCTATCAATTGGATTAGGTGTATGATGGGCCTCCATTTTGGAAATGCGCCAAAAATCCTGGGTTTGTGGACCACTGACCTTTGGTTACAATATTTGCTACTGACATTTCTGTCACATTTTTAGTGCATAATAAAACACACTGAAGATGCTAGCATGAAACATCACCATTCATTTCTCTATGTGAACCCTGTGGAGATTCTTTCTTCAGACCATCTGCTGTAACTCTCCCGTCCTTTGGGGGCGCTGCAGAATGAAGCCCGACTCCTGTGCTGATTAACTTACCAAAGCCTTTCCCTTGGGACACCGCATAGGATGAACGACGCTGAAAGGTACCTCTCCGAAACCTTTGCAGCTCAACAGACTCATTCTTTGAACTGTGTATCTACATGTGTAAAAAGGAAAGTACGGTGAGCATAATCAATAACACAACATGTAATATATGTTATGTTAATTAGAAAAGGTAAGGATCTACCTTATGTTTGTTGGGGTTTGTTAATACAACACCTAAGGCTCGTATGGTTATTGAGGGGAGGACAGCAATAAAGGTGGTCACAAATATGGTCAGCCAAACCTCAGGGGTACTGAAAGCATTTGGGGATGATCCTGAAAATTCAAGATTCACATATTCAATAAGGAGTTCGACATTAAAGGATTTCGGGCTGAAATTCACTGTAAAGACTTCTTACATTCTTACATTTGCCCTCTGGTGGCCTACATGAATACATTTTCGCAACATTTCATTTTGAAAACATGAGGAAGGGTTCAAAAGGGTTCAAATTGTGATTCCCATGTTCAATTTTTTTCAATTTATATTAGACATAAGGTTAATATAGAAACAAGTTTTAATCAGTTAAAACTATGTGTAAAATAAATGTGTAATATACACTCACCGGCCACTTTATTAGGTACCCCATGCTAGTAACGGGTTGGACCCCCTTTTGCCTTCAGAACTGCCTCGTGGCATAGATTCAACAAGGTGCTGGAAGCATTCCTCAGGGAGTTTGGTCCATATTGACATGATGGCATCACACAGTTGCCGCAGATTTGTTGGCTGCACATCCATGATGCGAATCTCCCGTTCCACCACATCCCAAAGATGCTCTATTGGGTTGAGATCTGGTGACTGTGGAGGCCATTTTAGTACAGTGAACTCATTGTCATGTTCAAGAAACCAATTTGAAATGATTAGAGCTTTGTGACATGGTGGAAGTAGCCATCAGAGGATGGGTATATGGTGGCCATAAAGGGATGGACATGGTCAGAAACAATGCTCAGGTAGGCCGTGGCATTTAAACGATGCCCAATTGGCACTAAGGGGCCTAAAGTGTGCCAGGAAAACATCCCCCACACCATTACACCACCACCACCAGCCTGCACAGTGGTAACAAGGCATGATGGTTCCATGTTCTCATTCTGTTTACGCCAAATTCTGACTCTAACATCTGAATGTCTCAACAGAAATCGAGACTCATCAGACCAGGCAACATTTTTCCAGTCTTCAACTGTTCAATTTTGGTGAGCTCTTGCAAATTGTAGCCTCTTTTTCCTATTTGTAGTGGAGATGAGTGGTACCCGGTGGAGTCTTCTGCTGTTGTAGCCCATCCGCCTCAAGGTTGTGCGTGTTGTGGCTTCACAAATGCTTTGCTGCATACCTCGGTTGTAACGAGTGGTTATTTCAGTCACTGTTGCCCTTCTATCAGCTCGAACCAGTCTGGCCATTCTCCTCTGACCTCTGGCATCAACAAGGCATTTCCGCCCACAGAACTGCCGCTCACTGGATGTTTTTTCTTTTTCGGACCATTCTCTGTAAACCCTAGAGATGGTTGTGCGTGAAAATCCCAGTAGATTAGCAGTTTCTGAAATACTCAGACCAGCCCTTCTGGCACCAACAATCATGCCACGTTCAAAGTCACTCAAATCACCTTTCTTCCCCATACTGATGCTCGGTTTGAACTGCAGGAGATTGTCTTGACCATGTCTACATGCCTAAATGCACTGAGTTGCCGCCATGTGATTGGCTGCTTAGAAATTAAGTGTTAACGAGCAGTTGGACAGGTGTACCTAATAAAGTGGCCGGTGAGTGTATATATAATGAATAAGGTTAATAATCATTCATTTTTATATCCATTTTTCTAATTTTTTTTAAATATTTATTTAATTTTTCTCAATGTTTATTTTGAAAATCTATATTATTATTTTTACAAAACCTTTTGCAGTCATTTGTGATTACTGGATAAGTCATGGCAACAACTAAAATCATAGAAATATAATTTTTTGTTAATCTAAAATAAAAAATAAAAAACGATAATTAAAAATAGCTAAAATTGCTCTTCGTAATGACTGTTTTTAAAAAACAGAAAGCCTGATGAGGTGATATATAGAAAGTTTACTACATGATTAAATGTATTTTGTCTCTTCATCTAGAGATATGCAATTTATATGAATAATTATTAATCTGCAGACATGAATACCCAGGAAAAAGTAGTCTTTAGGTGAGGCAGTGAAGAGGCGAGCGCTATGGAGAGCCAGTGTGGACAGAAAGAACACCACTAAACTAAAGATGACTGCTGCGATGTTCCACTTGGTCCAGAATTTTGTATGTAGAATAACCTAAAACCGACAAGACACGAACAAGACAATACAGTTATCACTGTCATAATTGTTTGTAACGTAAATATTGCAGCCGTTATTTATGCCGTCTATTTACCTCGACAGTGGTGGCGAGCACCACAGACGTTTCCACCGTAACGGCTAAGGTCTGAAAATCGAGAGCAGAGTACTGCAATATTCCCATAGGTATGATGAAAAGGATGATGGAGGTGTAGAGAGAGTAGAGGAGTGTGACGGCCAGAACAAAAGGATTGAAAAGCTGCTTCTTCTGTCCAATGGAGTAGATCTCCGGCCAGCACAGACAGCTCTTAGCACTCACGTCCTATCCCAGAGTCAATGTAAACGGATAGACTGACAGATGAACCAATCAGCTTTTGGATTTGTTGTGATTGGTCAAAATGCTCTGTATTTGGCTTACCTGTTCAAAAAAACCCATGCACTGTATAGGCAGAGACGTGTACATTGTTGAGTAGAGGCTAATAAACCAGCTCTCGTACATGGGCTGGAAAACAGAGCAGAAAGTGCACCAAAAAAAAGCTGCTGATGTCATTTATTATCAGAGAATGTTGCATGTTGATTTAATCTCAAACAGATCTCAGTTTGACTGTAATAGCAGATATTATCACAGTGCGGTTGGGGTTGGTGGGTGTAAAGTGGATTAAGTGACCTAGTTGCTCTATACCTGAGCGCTGAAGCCATTGTAGAAACTGTACCAGATGTGCACCAGAGCAAAAGCAGTGGTTTTGTAGAGGAAATAGCGCAGAAGGATGCAGATGCGATAGTAGGACCAGTGCCCGTGCACCAGCAGCAGCCTGAGGAGGAAGCTGAACTGCGCCAGAGCGAAATCAGCATTCTGCACCGCCTGACTTCCCTCCATGCCGCAAAGACCCACGCCAATATGTGCCGCTGGTGAATATCAGAGATTTTTATTTATTAGCAAAGTGCAAATTTGATTTATTTAGCCAAATAGCAAATAATGATGCATTAAAATAGTTACTGTTTTTTCTCACTCTTGATCATGTTCACGTCGTTGGCACCATCTCCTATTGCCATGGTTATCGAAGTCGAATGTTTCCTGACCATCTCGACCACTTCGGCCTTTTGTGCCGGTGTCACGCGGCAGCAGAGCACAGATTGGCACTGATCAGAGAGAGCAACAAACTTCGCCCCCCATTCTGGCGTTTTGGTCAATTCTACCTGTAATGTACAGAAAGTAGATAGATATTATTACAATTTAAAATAACTGTTTTCTATGGTAATATATTTATAATGCAATTTATTCCTGCGATGGCAAAGCTGAATTTTCAGCATCACCACTCCAATCTTCAGTGTCACATGATCCTTCAGAAATCATTCTAATATGCTGATTTAATAAAACATTTCATATTTTGATTCTTTGATGAATAGAGATCTACTAAAGTCTTCTACCTAGTCTTTTTTTTTGTGACACTTTTGTTCAATCTAATATGGAAGCTTTTTTTCACCACAGAATAAAAAATTGAAAAAAGGTAATTGCGAGTTTTTATTCGTCTTTCGGATGAGACGTTAAACCGAGGTGGTCCCGACTCTCTGTGGTCACAAAAAATCCCAGGATGTCTTTCGAAAGAGTAGGGGTGTAACCCCGGCATCCTGGCCTCCTAATCATCCCCATATACTGATTGGCTTCATCACTGTCTCCTGTCCACCAGTAAGCTGGTGTGTGGTGGGCGTTCTGGCGCAATATGGCTGCCGTCCAGGGCCGTCGCTAGTGGGGTGAAAGGTGGTGACAATTATAGGGGCCCCCGCTGCCCAGGGGGCCCCACAAAATCCAGCAGTTATACTATTTAGGCCCCTGTTGTATGAATAATTCTAATATTTATATTAGTTGTATGCCTGAGATTTAAATGAAAACCACAAAAACGTGCAATTTGGGTAAATATTTTTCCAAATATCTGATTCTCTTACCTCCATAAAAATGGTTTAGTCCAACCTAAAGTATTTATTAATTATTCAGTCAGAGTCAGTGACAAACATCAGATGGACCCAATAAAATTGTAAGTCCCACCCCAGCTCATGAACAGAACCGATCAGAGTTGAGGCGGCAGCCTGAAGTTAACGATGAACTTGGTGGAAGAGCAGGAGACTAACTGACTGAAAAATGTCGGGGAAAAGAAAACATAAATCAGGGAACCAGAAATGCCAGGAAAGGACGGAGAGGGAGGCAAGGAGAGTGGTTGTATCCCAGTCGATCAAGACGTTCTTAAAGACCGGTTATATATTGTTATTTCGCTGGGAATTAGAAAACTTCCGTCTACAGTCTGCCGTGTACAGTCATTTTTGATTATCGGTGCGCGCCACAATCGACCGAATGATTACGTGGTCTAAATTCCTGTCTTTTTACACTATTGTAACTAGAGTTTTAAAAAAATTACACGAGTCACGACGCAATGCATTATGCATTTGACCTGCCGGCTGATGATATTTAAAACATAGAGAAAACACGAATACAACACACTGCACTTGGATGAATAAATGTATTCGCTTTATTTAATAATATTACCAGTTCCATATTATCTTTATTAAAAAATAAGACAATGAATGGTTTTATTTTTTTAATTAGACTGCATTCTTGTCAATTTCTAAATGTTTACTTTTTGATTTATGAATTATAACAGGCTGATGGGGGGGGGGGGGATTACTTTTTAAAAATTGGTTTTATTATTATTTAACAATTTCTTGCTTTTTGTTAGTTTTTATTAGTTGTAATTTTTATATAAACATTTAACTTTTAAAATAAAGGTTTTACAACAACATCACCATCTTCTGTTATGTGGTCCTCCATGTTCATCTATTGTACAGTATATGATATTGGTGGAGGGTGGTGGGGGCCCACATCAATATTTTTTCAGGGGGCCCCGAATCCTCTAGCTACGGCCCTGCTGCCGTCACATCATCCAGGTGGATGCTGTACATTGGTGGTGGTTGGAAAGCGCTTTGAGTGCGGAGAAAAGCACTATATAAATGTAATGGATTATTATTATTATCATCTCACAATTCTGACGTGATATAAAGTCTGAATTGCGAGTTATAAAGTCAAAATTGCGTGATATAAAGTCGCGATTGCGAGACAGAAAAATCAGAATTGCGTGATATAAAGTCGCAATTGCGAGACAAAGTCAGAATTGCATGATAAAAAAATTGCGATTGCGAGGCAAAGTCAGAATTGCGTGATTTAAAGTCGCAATTACCTTTTTTATTTTTTATTCAGGGGTGGAAACAAGCTTCCATAATTTAACGCATCCTTGCTGAACAAAAGTATTCATTTTTATCTCACTGACCCTAAACCTTTAAACAGTCGTGATATTTTTTATTTATTTATAAAATCCAAACCTTTGGCTTTAAATGCTCACCAGTTCAGGACCCGAGATGACAAGCGCAGCTTTGCTCTTCTCTGCTCTCCTGTCTGTGGTCCAAACCTCTGTCTCTTTAGACATGAGACGAACATCTGGAGAAGGAGACTCTAGAAGCTGCCTGGAGATATTGACAACAGTCATGTTGTGTTATATTACGTGTGTATGTGTATCTTTGTAACACTGTGCATGTTCTAACCATCTTACTAACCAGTGTCAAGTAATCTGTCTGTCCTCACAATATCGCAGCCAATCAGAACATATTCAATGCTTAACAGACTGCTATATTGGCAGCATCCAAAGAAATGTCACTGTGTGTGTGGCTATCTAGTGTGACGTGACAAAAATAGAAACCAATCAAAATGGCCAATTGGTGTGAATCAGCTTGCATACTTCTACTATATGCTTAGCTGGTGACAGGTATAGCACACACACTTTGAGGTTGTAGTATTCATTAAATAATTGGCGAAAAGTGCCAGGATGACTTTCTACTTCCACCAATATTCTGAAGTGCACATTCAGAGGACAATTTACTATCAAACAGGGTTAGTGAAAGGCAGTGAAATGAGACAAATGACGCTGGTTGGTCACATAACAATGAAAACATGGTGAATGTTGTAGGTCCGGATGAAATCGACAGAAATTATGGGTCATAAAATTATGTCATTATCTCAGACCCCCTTCTCGCGTACTGTTTACATGCAAGTTTTAGCTTTTTGCTAAATGTATTACCTTTTAAAATTTAACTTTAAGAGTCAAGCATTTAAAAAGCTATTGCTAGCAATTACGGTACAATAATAACAATAGTTGTTATTTTTGAATATTTAATTTTAATTTAAGGTTATTTAATTTTAATTGTTAATAATTATTTTTATTTGTTAATAAATATTTTATTGCTAATTTTGAATTATTATTACTATTCTTACTATTCTTACTATTTTTTTTAAATAATATAATTATAGATTTAAAAAGCTATTGCAATTTTGGAGGAAACAATAACAATAGTTGTTATTTTTGATGTTTAATATTTAATTTTTCATTTATTGTTAAAATATTTTATTTGTAAAATAAATATTTTATTGTTATTTTTTAATTATTATTATTATTGTTATTTTTCTTACTAATTATTTAAATAGTATAATTATACATTAAAAAAGCTATTGCAATTTTGGAGGAAATAATAACAATAGTTGTTGTTATTTTTGTTGTTTAATATTTAATTTTAATGTAATGTTATTTAATTTTCATTTTTAATTATTTATTGTTAATAATTTTTATTTGTTAATAAATATTTTATTGTTGATTTGTAATTATTATTATTGTTATTATTCTTACTAGTTATTTAAAAATATAATTATACTTTAAATTATTAATTTTATTAATACAATTATTTATTAATAATACAATTATATTTTTATTATTTTATTAATTAATATTATTATACATGTATATAAAAATTTTTTTACATACATTTGTCTTGTCACATGCTGCTTATTACAGCATTATTATTAGCATAATATGAATGTTTCTGACCTAAGCTCCTCCCCTTCTATCAGGATTGTGTCTGGATCCATCAGTTTGCACGCATATCCCACATTCACAGCCGTTTCTGTTGAAAAGAAGTAGCAGACAACATAAATTTCTTTTCATTTCACTTCTTCAAACCAACTTATATGCTAAAACACAGCACCTGTTTTGTCTCCCGTCAGCACCCACACCTTCACCCCCGCCCTCCGCAGGGAGGCGATGGTCTCGGGTACACCTTCCTGGAGACGATCCTCAATAGCCGTCACACCCAGCAGCTACACAAACAGGATTGTTTTATAACACAATGCTAAAGCATTTGACCATTTCCCTTAAGTTGACTCCAGAGACTGATTTGTTTCATAATAACTCCCTTTGAGTACCGTTAAGTCTTTTTCCATTTGGTCATATATGTCTTCGAGCGCAGTGTCCTGGTTACCCGTCGCTGTGCCCGCCTGACTGAGGGCGCGGCTCCACTCCGTCCACAGGGTTTCGGGAACAGAGCGCACCGCCACACACAGAGTCCTCAGACAGCCCTGAGCAAACAGCTGACAACCGCACACACATCCAAACACATGAACAACTGCGTCGTACATCAGCTCTTACTCAACCATGTTTCCTCTTAAAGTCGCCTCACCTCTAGAGCTCTCTCGGTACTCTCCTGAAGTAGCCAGTCCCCCTGAAGCCTCTCCAGAATAACCATATCTGCACCTTTACAGTACAGCTTCAACCGTCCTCCAGGGTCCCGCACTACACACACACCCACCCATACAGTTAAGCCCAAAGTATACTTTGATTTTTATGCGTACGCTAGGGTATGTGTACAGCGCGCATAATGTAAATTTCGTCATCAGCGCGGATCGTCATCCACCCGTACTCTACGCTCAGCTCGCATATGTGCCGTGAATTTTTTTGCCGCAAATGAGTTTGTCCACACACTCTCATGGAAATTCGTAACCTTTTTACGTTTTTGCAAATTCATACAACCTCATTGGTATGCTTTCGTATGATCCGCAATCACACCACTGATGGTTAGGTTTAGGAGTGGATCTTCATTCTCGAGTGAATCTTCATTCTCATATGGATCACATCGTACAAATTCAAACGAAATTGCCAACTCGTAAAATAGTTGTGTTCTCATGAAGTTTAGCTAACAGCAACAATATACCCTTGCATTAAGGAGCACTAGAGTGAGGGGGTTAAGAAAAACATACAACTCCAGCTTAAAGGGTCATGAAACCCCAAACCAAATTTTCTGAGATTTTTACAGAGGTATGTGTGTTGAACACCATTGAAGACAATGTTAGCATCAGTTAGATTTAATAGTAGGGTTAAGATGGTTAAATTTGAGTTTTTTTCCGCTTTTTTCGTCTTCCGGGTTTAAAATCTTCATCGTGTCCACGTCACAGGCTGTGACGTGGCAGTGCACTGTGAGTGCGTTGATGACTCATCGGTGTCTCATAATTATTAATGAGACTGAGTTTTCATATCCTATGAGAAGACACTGTCTCTTAATTATTCATGACACCGCGTGGATCTTTCCAATGACAGACATGTCAAACTGTGATATCGCGCAGTAGATGAGAGAGGCAATCACGGGACGCACGCAAGTTTTTGTTTTCGTGGTGCAAAAGTCCAATTGGGTTGAATATGTTTCCCCGCGATGCTGCCCGGGCTAGACTCTGGCTCCGGGCGGTTGGTTTTCCATCAACCACGGACACATCTAAACGTGTGTGCCGCAAAAAAAAATTCTCGAGAGAGCTTCGAGAATTGTGGACTTCGCCTTGTTGACAACCAATGCAGGTTGCGTCTTGCGAGTGATGCGGTACCAAGTCCCGAGGACTTTTCTATCCCATCAGAGGTGTGTGTGTGTGTGTGCCTAAAATGAGAAGTCATCCACCTCCACAGAGCCATCTTTATTATGGGGGTTCAGGGGGCGCGTAGATCTAGGCTATGCACGGAACGTTTTTTTTAAGCGGCAAATTAATAATTTTCAAATATATGTATTTATAGTGTCTATAAACAACTATATATTTTATAATGACATTATAATTATACATGTAGCCTACATGAATATGTTCTCAATAGAATTACTGTAGGCTAATATAGCAGGGCATTCAGTTACTTTTGAAAGGACAATAATAAAGTGTCGTATTTCATAAGACTTTAACTTTGCCAGCTATAAAAAAAAAATCTAGCATTTCCTCACGTTTTACCACTGCTTTTAGTGACAGTCGATATGCATGGGATACTGGCGATGACAGTGATGGCCTTACCACACCCCTTCTCACAGCCATCCACGCCCATTTAAGTTGCATTTTTCAAAAAGATTGTGAGCTAGACTTGAGCTGAAAGAGGGGGGTTTCATGACCCTTTAAACTAGTACAAAAACAAGTTTATCGCTAATACCCTCTGGAGAGAAATAGCTCAGACACTGGACACGAATGAATCTTTCTAGTGCGCATGTGTTCAGCGGACGCCATCAAATGGACAATGCTTTTGAAGCATCAAAGTGTCAGTTGCGTAGTTGTCTACGGAGGGACAGAAAGCTCTCAGATTTCATTAAAAACATCTTCATTTATGTTCCGAAGACGAACGATAGTCTTACGGGTTTGGAACGACATGAGGGAGGGTAAATGATGACAGAATTTGAATTTTTGGGTGAACTATCCCTTTAAGAGCAGTTGTTGAAACTCACCCAGCACTGACATGCGTCTCCTCTTGCTGGTGAAGTCCAGGATGGCCAGGAGCTGATAGTTTCGCGTGAGGCCCATCTCGCTGATGGTGAGAGTCTCACGTGTGCGCGACAGAAACACCCAGCCGAGCTCCCGCGCTGCACAGACCAGAGCTTCCTCATCTGGAGAGGCAGCCTGGTAATGAGGTAACCCTGTATATTTATAAAACACAATTTGCTTTTTACACGTCTTTCTATTTTATGATTGTTTCAGTGCAATATTCCATCTGGCATCTGTTCATTGGGGTTAAAGCATCAAAAAGGTGTAGGCACCTATTGTATTTGTTCACTTTATTCTTATTCTGACTGGTTTAAGGTAAAAAAGGAAGGTCTGAACTTCAGTATGAGCAGTTTTGAAGTTCGTAAATCCTCTCAAACCCTCTAGCGCCACGACAGCTTAAAAGTTACACTACTGCTCAAAAGTTTGGGGTCAGTAAGATTTGTTTTTTAAGAAATTAATACTTTTATTCAACAAGGACACATTAAGTTGATTAAAAGTGACAGTAAAGACGTTTTTAATGTTACAAAACATTTCTATTTTAAATACATGCTGTTCTTTTGAACTTTCTTTTCATCAAAAAATCCTGAAAAAAGGGCATTACGGTTTCCAGAAAAATATTAAATCGTTTTCAACATTGATAATAATCAGAAATGTTTCTTGAGCAGCAAATCAGCATATTAAGAGTGATTTCTAAAGGATCGTGCGACACTGAAGAGTAATGATGCTGTAAATTTAGCTTTCGCGTCACAGGAATAAATTACATTTTCAAATATATTCAGTTATTTTAAATTGTAATAATATTTCACAATATTACTGTTTTTACTGTATTTTTAAATGCCGTCTTGATTAGCATAAGGGATTTCATTTAAAAAATGGCACTGACCCCAAACGTTCAAACAGTAATCTATGTTTTTGCTGATAATCTTCATGGTCAATAACCAATTCTTTAGACCAAACAGGAAAAGGGGGGTTTTGAACATGTGATTCTGCTGCACTGGGAGTAATGTCCTGTTGATCAATGTTAACTTTGGGGCCCCCTGGTGGCCAATAGTCGTATATTCTAATAAAATCTATTGTATTGCTGCCCCTGTAATTATATCTTGCAACCATATTTTAATCCTTTCATCTTCATTACCTCTAGCAAATACAATGTTGTGATAAATTGTGATAATGGCAGAATAAATGGCATTTCTACCAACCATCCCTCCACTCGCTCATGACAGTGTGACAAAGGGCCAGAGCGGTGAAGAACTCTTGGCACTCAGGGCTGCTCCGTTCACGCAGCTTGTCCACCAAACGCTGGTCGGAAAACTTCATTCCACCACAGGAAAACCGGTTCCAGCTTAAGTCTAGTGGCTTGATATAGAAATAAAATAGCTTTAGAAATAAAAGTGTGATGTGTTCTTTTAGTCTGGGTCAGTAGATTTAAACATTTAAACCTCTTAAATCATACCTTGAATTCCCCTGCCATGTCACCTGAACAAACAGACAGATGTCCTTATTGACAATTTTAATATACAGAAGGCTGAAAAGAGTGTCAAAGAAATTGACGGACCGTAAATGTGTCCGGCGATGAAGCACTGACGAAAGAGCAGCCGGTTTTGCGTGAGAGTGCCGGTTTTGTCGCTGAGCAGGTGGCCCACCTGACCCAATTCCTCATTCAGGGTGGTTGTACGGGCCTGAGCGGGGCTGTCATTGTCCTCCCAGTACATCTCAACATCCCGGCTAATCAGATAACAGTGCACCATGTGGATCACATCAAATCTGGTGTGGGACAATGAATCAGTGAGCAAAATATTCAGAGATAAAAGGATCTAAATCTCAAAGGAAGGCATCATAAGAATATGGAGAGCCATTGTTACGTTATATAGAGAGACATGGGCATAGAAGGACTAAGCAAAATGATGTAGCCCCAGAAGGAGAGGAAGCCCAGGTAGGCAGGCGAGGAGTCACGCTGCAAGACAGACACAACGTCGTACTGAGGGGAAACCCTGTACTCAAATATCCCCGCGCCCACAGCGAGGAGGAGAGCCGTCATCAGCATGAAGAGCAGAATCTGAAACATGAGATATAGTGATTTAGGCAGGGAACAGATCCATTTATAATATCTAAATAATATTAGTTTGTCAACCTCAGGTGAGCAATACTAAACACATACCGTACATGAAATACAAATTTGCATTCTTGTTATCAACAGTTGAGACGTGTAACTCCTAAATTATGTTTTTATTTTATTTCTAGAAATAAACATTTAATAATATTTATACTGTATATATAAACAGTCCAGAATGGGTAACAACATTGCTAATCTAAATTAGAAAATGGAATTGAGATTATTTAATTGTCTTCCCACTTATATTTTTGGTAAATTTGGTTAAGTATTTCTTACTACAATTAATCTAATAACTGATTATGAACACATATGATATGATATTTAATTGTTCTATATAGTCAAGAAGGTCAAGCAAGCTACTACTGTTCATGCTAGGTCAATTTTATGTTAGATAATAGTAGATATAGTATCTCAACTAAGAGTTACGTATGAAGTTTCTTCCTCTCTCTTACCACCAACACCGTTTTGTTTAGTAATATTTCCACCCGTGTTTTCTTCAGTTTCAGACGGCCACAGTTTTGCAGAATTTTACTATCCGAGCCTGTTGAGGTCAAAGAAATCCATTTAATTTTTCATTTGTCTCAGGCCATTTCTACAGAATCCCTCAAGGGACAGTGATTGGAGCAAAAAATATATTTCATTGCTTTTGCTTTCCCCCAAAACCTTTGCATTTTTGCAAGTTTCTCAGGCCAATGGAAAATATTGGCGAGAGAATGCAAAAGCATTGACATTTTGACACATTTTCCCTCCCTTCCCATATTTTTTTCCATCAACATGTCCATTTAGGGGCTCCAAAATTTCCATCCAGCTGTCAGCATTCACCTTAATAGCACAGATTTGACTTACCTGTGTATATGGCCAGTCCATAGGCTGTGTCTGTGTTTCGCAGTACAGTTCCTCGGAGGAGCAGGTGGTCTGTGTCCAGAAGGTGGCGCTCCCCTTTCCAATGTAACTCACCTTTGAAAGAATGCAGGTTACCATTTGGTTCCTCACACCACACAATACCTAAGTTGAAAAGAGAGAGAGCGAAAGCTCCAAAGGTAAAAGAAATGAATAGAAAGCTTATCTTTTGGTCACTACGAATGAATGGCTCCAATGTTTGCCCAAAGAGTCCATACAAACCATCAAAAGACCCCAGGTTTTGCTTAGCTGAATCTCCATTCAGCTCAGCATGGGTTACATTCAGAGCCTGGCGAAACTTCAAGTTGGTTTCTCTGCAAACAGCCGAATAATACAGTGAAAACATGCTACATTAGCATTAGAGCTAATTTTCCACAACACCATAATAATCAAGTTCATAAAAAAAAAACAAGTTTATTGAACTGCTTTGAATATCACAGTGACCATTTATTTATCATTTTTGTGTGTGATGTCATTCTGAGTAGTTTAGCCCAAACAGCAGAATTAATACCATGAAAAAAATGCTAGTTAGCATTTGCGCTAATTTTCCACAACTTGTATATTATTACATGATATATTTGAGGGTTTATTTCACCATAATAATCAAGTTCATAAAAAAACAAGTTTATAGAACTGCTTTGAATATCACAGTGACCATTTGTTTATCTTGTTTGTGTGTGATATCATTCTGAGTAGTTTAGCAGTTAGCTTTAAGCTGGCGTGAGAAGTTATGGCATCTGTCCAGGGTGAGATGCGCTTCTTACCCATCAATGTCTGCCGTTTCTACATAGCAAAGGCTGTGTGGCTCAGTGCTGCACAAGAGCAGCAGATCTGCCTGAAATCAACAACAGGAGAAACTTTATGGGCGTCAAACATAGCTAAACATGTCTGTAGTTAACCTAAAGGTAGGAAATGACTTGATCTATCCACTACAAATCAATTTGAGACAAAAAAATGGTTTGGAATTTGACACTATTTAAGTGTCCAGATTCTTTTTTGGGCTGCTGTAGCTGGGTTAGGAACACAAATGCACACACTCACAGGTATGACCTTGTCCTTATGAATCCGGAGAATGTCACCAACACGTACATCTTTCCACTTAACAGTTTCGAAGCTGGAAATGAGATATTCAAGAGTGGAAGACTTTTGAATTGAAAGATTCTCTGTAAATCTAAACTCAGATGATGATGTGTTTGTTTTGCTTCTGAGGAGCTTTGGTCTCAACTATCTCCAGGCCAGTATTATACTTACCCCTCAGGAGTGAGAATGTCACAGGGGCGCTGGTTAATTTGCGCATCACTGCGTCGGCGGCCCTGAGAGGCGTAGGAGCAGAGGGAACATTATGCATAGATGTGGAAGTAATGGGGAAATGGCTGAATACTGAGATACTACTGGCCTTCAAACTTCTATATTAGTGAAAGTAGTTTAAAAGTATCGGTTGAGAGAATGTCAAGAATGATAGACTCACCACGTCGGTAGCCAGATCTTTAAATCCACGCACAAGCAAAACAAACAGCAAAGGAACCATTGTGCTGTACCAAGGGATGGTTGCAATTATAGGAACACACTGTAAATGAAACCAAAGATGTACAAAACAGCTTCAATTTTCACTTAAATTAGGAAACTTGTTGAAAAGTATGTATTTATATGTAATTATATACAATGTATTGTTATTAGATGTTTACATGTATACATATATATGGCCGGTAACTTAAACATTTAGAAGCCGTGAGTGAAAAAGTTAATTTCAAACCCTGTGTGTGTATATGTATATATATATATATATATATATATAATACTGTATACATAGCCTATATATACACAGGATCACATGGCTTACAAAAATGAAGTTCATCCATCATGCCAGTTCAAATAGAGACTCAAATAGGGTCAAGAATAAAGGATATTATAGCCAAGTTGTCAAGTACTCCAGGATTTATGAATTGAAACTCAAATATTTACTCTGATCTTTTTATGCTTTCTCATTTATCCAATTTATTTTAAGAAAGGGTGACTGCCATTTTCAGCCATGACTATGTAATTTTGTCTTTTTCAAACAGCAGGTGTTTTACTATTTGCCAAAGAGCATGTGTCATTCATCATTTCATCATGAACTCGAGCGGCCACCTTGAACTATAGTATTCTATAGTATTCATTTGGGAAAAAATGTGCTAGTCAAATATTCCTCATGGGCTTGGTATTTAAACTTAAATTAGCTGCATGAATCTTTGTATCACAGAAAAACTCCACAAACCTGCAAAACCACAATAAGTAGGAAGAAAAGATTCGCCGCTCGTTGGAACTGTTCATACAGGTTAAGGGGCAAAAAGGTCAGAGGGGTGTATTTGTAGCTCCGCACCACATTGTCCTGGCAACAAAACCCATTAGGAACATGTCAAGTAATGAATAAAACTTAGCACTTGCTTTCAAACCAGCTGAAAACATCAACATATGAAGCAGAAGGCAGCCCAAAGGTATAAAATGTTGTTTAACGCTTCCATAACTACTTCTCCCTAGCCAATATGAATCAAAAAGGTTTCTCACATACAGCGTAACGCCCCCAGCGGAAACAGAGGAAAGATTTTCGGCGACAGGACTGATGAAAATGACGGCCGTTGGGCCGCACCTCCCAACTGACTCCTGAGGGGTTAAAGTAAAGAAAAGATGATTGAACATCACATCATCCAAAACATTCAATGTTAGAAAGGAATCACCTTAATTGGACATTTTTTTTTACACTAAAATGTGGGTAATATAAAATGCATGCATTTAATACATAATTTCCTGAAGTGGTTTACTGATTGTGATTTCTGTTATAATTATTGCAGTATGCAATGTGTGAATTATAGACACTGTAGACTCAAATTTTCTTGTTTTATTCGCTTTTTACATTTCATAACAGTAACATTCATAAAGACAAATGCAAAGATATTTTAAGGGGAAAACACATGGGAATCATTTTAAAAAAAAACATGCTTCTCACCTCCATCAGAGGTATTAAATATCATTTAATTATACTTCCAAGCTGAAAAAAATAAAGTCTTCCCACAACATATTCTGAGGTTTGTAGAAACGCTCAGATGTTGGTCTTTTTTTTTTTTAACTCTTGACATTTGGCAAGATAAACCTAAAATAAAATTTTGAATGTGGAGGATATTTATACCATTATATTTTATAGAATAACTCATCCTAGTTTTCTGTTCATTTTGGACAAGTTGAATAACAGCATATGAAAGCTCATGAATGTACTGAACTGAATAATTACATTAGCTGTTTGAAAGATAAATAAAATGTCAGTAATAACCAACCTCTTTCGGTCTTGCTACCAGTCATGATGGAGTAATACACAGAGATTGAGACTGTTGTGGAAAAGAAGGATGAAAACCATATTAACAGAGGTCAGTATGACAGTGGCCAGTCTCGCAGGCACTTGCATAAAATCTGTTATTCATTAGACTGTTTCCATGCTTACCTGGGACAAATAGACAGTAAGAGTCATCAAACAACTAGCATGTTATATATAATATAAATAAATGTTATAATATATAATTTAGTAGTATTTCATTTTATTTAATAATATATATATATATATATATATATATATATATATGTTATAATATAAATGTTTAAAAGTTATCATATACTTATAATATACTAATAAATTAAATAAATAAAGGAATACATGTATGTGTATTGTTAATGTTACAATATGTAGGCCTAATTAAAAATAAAATATACTAACAAATATTAGTAAAATATATATTTGTTTATAAATATAAATTAAAATAATATGTCAAATGTATTATATAATCAAATGGCATACTACATAATTTAAACAAATGTGTACAATATATATATATATATATATATATATATATATACTGTATATACAGTACTATTTCATACCTGGTACATAAAATAATACTGGATTATATGATAAATGCACACATGATGAAATATGAACAGATTCAGAAGCATGTGAACACTGAGGAATATAACATTTAGCATCACCTGTCCCATTCCTGTCTTTGGGAACGGGAGTAGCCTACATTCCATCCAGAAATAGAGACACAGTAACACTCATATGATCTGATTAGTCAAACTAAGTGCTAAACTGTGAACACTGGGGAGTTTCACCCACAAAACACCTCACCTGCTTACTGTTTTTTGTTCCTTGATCACAGATCCCAAAGGGCTCACTTTCCGCGCTCTTCTCCCCAGCGTCTCATCCAGGTCGCCTAAATCACAGATCCAGGTGTTCCTCGCCCCAACAAACCCCTGAGTCTCATGCATATGTTAGCGCATTTGTTGAATCATGTCTTTTTCGCTCTTCTGTTTATCTCCAGTGTTGTATTTGGAAATAAACTCCTCTCAAATCTCCTTCTCTCCTGCTCTATCTCCTCCCTCTCCATATCTCCTCCCTCTCAAATGCACGACTGGGGAATTTGTGCAAATGTGCTCCACCAGGTAAAGGAGGGGGCTGGAACTCGATATGCACTATCCAGCAGCACAGGTGGGAAAAGAAGCGGAGAGAATAAAAGACGGGAATAATGTAGGCCTAACATGAAAAGTTGGGAAAGGAATAGAAAAAGCAATAAAACTTAAGTTCGTATTTCGTAAAACAAATTGTAAAACTACCGCCGAAACTTTTTACGCTCCCAATAGATCCCTTGGGATTTTATTGCCGCTGCCGCAAGTTGTAAATATTGCGTTTTGGGGGAGACAAAACCCCGACGCGGTAGCCTACTCATCAAATACATTTATACGTAGACGCTAAAGTTATCATTTTAGTCTTTCTTGGAGTGAACAGGCCTTGTCAATAACGATAATGATATAGTATTAAAAATAGTTCTAAATGCAACAAGAGTCCACTAACTATACTGCATTAAAGAACGATATCGTTGGAATCACTTGAACGATAAAAACATTGACGGCCAATCAGAATCCACCTGACTTTAGCTCGAGTATTTAAAGCAGCAGACAACATAACTGTGCGTGTGCAGCGAGTAGACTACAGAACAATAACGCTATGGTGTGGACGCTATAGTTATCATTATCATTATTGGTGTGAACAGGATTTTATACGAGTGACTTAGCACCGGTTTGAGGTAGGCTGATAATGAAATGCAGCGCTGCAATGGTCGACAGCAAATATCTGACTTGATGACAGGTCTAATGACATATGACATAAAAACAGCAGACATTTATGACATTTATGCTTTTTTCATCAAAACATTGTACCATGGTTGAGTCATTTGTTGTCAAAACAGCATAAAGGTTGTGATTTCATTGAATCAGAGGGATGTACTATAATTCATGGAAAAAGCATGAGGATATGTGTTCAGAATAGCATATTTCACTTTATATTGCCATGCAGTGTGTATACTGTGCACAGTATGTAAATGTTCTGCATGAATGGACTACATTTGCCTAAATATGTATAGAACAAACACTGTAAGGAATACTATATTCCACAATGCAACATGCACGACTTGACCTTTTGCATTGGTCAAGCTGTAGGTAAGTTTGCACACTGCCATAAAATAATTGTTTTTAAATGGTCAGTAGCCAACCACTCACATTTGGTAGATTTCGAATAAATGTGTTAATCTGTCTGGTCAGAGTTCTCCTAAATATATATTTTGAAGTGGCTTTGCTGTTGTTTGGTAAGTCTGATATTGACACAGTATTTAATATGATATATAATATAACAATAACATTGTAGAAAAAAAAGGCTTTCGTGCCATTTAACCACCATTCATTTCTCTTTGTGTACCTGTGGAGATTCTTTCTTTAAATGGCCAGCTAAAGGCCCATTCATACAAAGAATGATTACTATAAAGATAATGATAACTACCGGTATATTAGCATCCATAGCCAATGATATCGTTCTGCTTATTCTAAGCACTAGCTTTGGTTTTGTCGTCTGCCACTTAAAATACTCAAGCTCTTAAACAATAATGGTTTCCGATTGGCTGTCAATGTTTTTATCATTCATAATCTGGAAAAAAAAAAATCTGAAAATTATTCCAACAATATCGTTTCTTTGTGCCATTATCGATATAATCGTGGTGTAGACTCTGGTATTCTTTTATATTCAGAATGATTTATTGAACTATATCGTTTTTGTTAAAGTTATCGTCTTCGTTGTGAATGGGCCATAACTCTCCTGTCCTGTGGGGGCGCTGCAGATGGAAGCCCAACTTTTGTGATTAACTTTCTAAAACTTTCCCTTCAGCGAGAGGATTAACAATGCTGAAAGATATCTCTACAAAAAACACAACTGCAACTCAATTCGTTGATCTGTGGATGGTAAGTAGACTAGAAACATTAGAATAATACCTAAAAAAGGCTTTGTGGGAGGAAAACTGACTATTGATGTTTTCACAAATGCTCCTGCCAAAGTAACCAGTAGAGGTAGAGAAATGTGTTCATCAAAAGGATGACCACAGTGACGATTTTGAGGAAACAAATAGATGAGAGAGTATGACAGAAAGAACAACACTAAATTAATGATGATTGCTATGATGCTAAAAATGTTCCCATGGGATGCAAAAATGGTCCAGTATGTACGATAACCTAGAACAGACAGAAAAAGAAAAAGAAAAAACAGAAACAAATTTCCACACAGGGATGATACTCTTGAATCAGTTTTTGCATAGGTGCTGCATGTCACCTAATGTAAATACTGTGGCCATCAATCATGCTCAGCCTCAGCAAAGTAGGCTATGCAATCAAATAGGTTTGTGAATCAAGTTACCTCAACAGTGGAAATCACCTGGGACATGGGCAAATATATATATGCTGTTGTGTAGAGGCATGTAAACCATCTCTCATATATACAGTCATGTGAAAAAGAAAGTACACCCTTTTGAATTCTATGGTTTTACGTGGACATAATAAAAAATTATCTGGTCTTTAGCAGGTCTTAAAATTAGGTAAATACAACCTCAGATGAACAGCAACACATAATATTGTATTACATTGTGTAATTATTTATTTAACAAAGATGAAGCCAAAATGGAGAAGTCTTGTGTGGCAAACTAAGTACACCCTATGATTTAATTGTGTTTAGAGCCACTTCAGCAATACGTTTAAGTAATCATTTTGTATATGACTTAATTAGTCTCTCACATAGTGGAGGAATTTTCCACTCTTCTTTACAATGTTGCTTCGGTTCATTGAGGTTTGTGGGCATTTGTTTATGCACAGTTCTTTAAAGGTCCCACCACAGCCTTTCGGTCGGGTTGAGGTCTGGACATTGACTGGGCAAGTGCAACACATTGATTCTTCTCTTTTTCAGACATTCTGTTGTAGATTTGCTGGTGTGCTTGTGATCATTGTCCTGTTGCATGACCCAATATCAGCCAAGCTTTAGCTGTCAGACAGATGGCCTCACAGAGGAGTTCATGGTCGACTCAATGACTGCAAGGTGCCTGCCCGGGGTCCTGTGGCTGCAAAAAAAAAAAGCCCAACTCATCAACCCTCCACCAGCGTGCTTGGCCGTTGGTATGAGGTGTTTGTGATGATATGCTGTGATTGGGTTTGGCCAAATGTGGCTCTGTGCATTATAGCCAAACATCTACACTTTGGTCTCATGTCTCATCTGTCCAAAGGACATTGTTCCAGAAGTGGTTTGTTCAGATGCAACTTTGCAAACCTAAGGCCCTGTTCACACCTGGTATTAAGATGTGTTTTGGTCAATCGGATCACAAGTAGACGAGGGAGACACATACCCGTTTATGCGCTTTAATCTGTCTCTTTTGTCCACTTTCTACCACATCTGTCCTTATTTCTTTTAGTGGAGGGTCTATGGGCGGGTAAATGTATGGGCTTTCATAAGATCTTTCGATCTACTGGACGAAATGGATGGTCTATGCTTGCGCAATTTACATATAATCACGCCCCGAGATGATGGAAAAACACACGGAAAGCTGACGCTTTCTTTTCTTTTCGAATGCATTTGATCACATGAGCGTCTAACACCATGAAAGCAATCCACTCTGAAAGTGATCGAAGTGGACAAGCTCAAAACATTTGTTTACATCTGTATTTAGTGTCGTCCACTTGTGATACGATTAACCATAATGCATCTTAATACCAAGAGAAGAAGCTTTCTCCTGGCAACCCTTCCAAACAAGCCATACTTTTTCATAATTGTCTTTTTATAATTGTACTGCCTTGAACTTTAACATTTAACGTAGAGTCTGAGGTGTAGTTCTTGGGTGTTTTGCGATTACTCTGAGAATTGCACTGTCTGACCTTGGGGTGAATTTGCTGGGACAGTCCACTCCTGGGAAGATTGGCAACTGTCTTGAATGTTTACTTGTGAATAATCTTCCTTACTGCAGATAGAATGATGGACTTTAAATTGTTTGGAAATGGCCAAATAACCCTTCCCAGATTGATGATGGCAACAATTGCTTCTCTAAGATCATTGCTGATGTCTTTCCTTCTTGTCATTGTGTTAACAAAATTTCTGCTTTTATTGAGGTGATCAAATTTGCTGATGATCAGTTAATCAAAGACATTTGATTAGCAGTAGCTGACTGCTACTTACCCTCTTCATTTCTAAGGTAGCAGTAAGTGTACTTGGTTTGTCACCCATGGCTTTTCCCTTTTGACATAGTTTTTGTTACATAAACTATGACATGGTGTAATATGTCATGTGTTGTTGTTCATCTGAGGTTGTATTTCAAGGGATACTCCACCCAAAAATGAACATTCTGTCATCATTTACTCACCCTCAAGTTGTTGCAAACCTGTATGAGTTTCTTTCTTCTGCTGAACAAAAAGAAAGATATTTTGAAGAACGATTGGAACTTTGGCACCATTGACTTCCATAGTATTTTTTTTCTACTATGGAAGTCAATGGTGTCTAACAACTGTTTGGTTCCAATCGTTCTTCAAAATATCTTCCTTTGTGTTCAGCAGAAGAAAGAAACTCATACAGGTTTGCAACAACTTGAGGGTGAGTAAATGATGACAGAATTTTCATTTTTGGGTGGAGTATCCCTTTAACTAATTTTAAGACCTGCCAAGTACCAGATCTTTTTTTATTTGATTATATCCCAATACGTCACCACAGAATTCAAAAGGGTGTACTTTTTTTTCACATGACTAGAGGGGGGAAAAACAAAAGGACCAAAAATGTGTCAGATGGTTTTATGTTCAAACCTAAGAACACTTACTGACAATTATCAGGGTCAATGACATATAAAACTGTCCACGTCCAAACCACATGTGCTAAGTTCTTAGATATGTACTCTTTGTATTGTATTGATGTTGGCTTTATATCGTTTTTATACCAAGAAAAGTTTCAAATTAATTAAATAAAATGGTGTAATCTTCAAGTTAAAAGCAGATTTTTAGATATTTACACTACACATTGAATTAACTACTTAAGTTTCTCTTTTCGAGTTTTTTGTTTTTAATGAATAA